AAATCAACTTTGAACCCTCGGGAAACATCGCACTCTTTCCAGAATAATTAGTTTTTGATTACGGTGCGCGAGCGTTCGGTGCTAACCACTGCAACATATGAGCTGCATTAAGACTTGGTTTAGGCCCCTCATCGGTATTCACATAAAAAGTCTCATGTTTTAGAATCTTTCACCTGCACGGATTTAGAAACGCTCCAGGATTGGTTTCGACTTCAGATTTGAACGCTTTACGAGCCACGTTCTAAGCTGCCCGAGCGGTAATCTGCGCTCCGGCGCAGAATTTGCGCCAACATTTGCCGCAGATTATTCAATATTTTTGGTGCTTTTTATGTTGTAAAACAGCTTAGTATTAATTGGCGTTGTAATAACAAAACTGTTACAGAAATGTCTGCCAAGAGGCAGAGCTCGTTGTTCTCATTCTTCACACCGAAAACAGGAGCAGCTAATACATGCTCAACTCCCAAGTCAACCAAAGTCAAAGAACCTGTGAAAAGAGAACCAGCAAATGATCCAGATCCAGACATTGAAGAAGGTACGGTTATCAGCTGCACGATTTATGCTCAACTGAGCTCAGTTAGCTTCATTTTTGCCATTTTTTTAATTGAAAATTCATAATGATCGCTTTCTATCGAAAGTTCCAGAGAATCATCATGGACTGTCAGTGCGAATTTGTAACGTTGATTTTGTACTGTTGCATCTCCCCAAGGTGTAGATCAACAGCGCTCGAGACAAAATCACACTATGAATGTACAGTCTGTCTGCGACGTAGGCAATGCACAAATTGCGTCCACTGCAGCGTCGCGTGCTTGGCACCCTTCCTCTTGTGGACAGAACGTGTGTAGAAGAAGGTAAAACCGCAGTGGTGTGTGCATTTCCTGCGTCAGTGACTGAAGCCGTGTTTTGCATGAGATCTCTTCTTTCGTTGCACTAAAAAATCCTAACCTTCTTACAGAATCTCGAACATTAAAGCGTGTGAATAATGAAGCAGATTCCTCTCCAGTTTTTCCCAACAAAAAACCTGTCAAAAGGAGACGAGTTATACTCTCTTCGGACGATGAGGGGGATGATGAGGATGAGAATCTTCTCAGCGTTCGAACACCTCCTGCACAGGTATAATTTATTTTTTGGCTACCTTCATATCGAGTCGTTGAATTTAATATAGAGTAATGTCGTGTCGTCATCTACACCTATGGCTACTGAGTTCGCCACACCAAAAAGCGCACGTCCATTGCGACCGCTGAAAGAATGTCCTACTCCGTTATCGACTGCGGAGGCTGAGTCCTTCATTGACTCTTTTCGTATTGAAGACGATTTGGTAGGTCCTACGTTAAATTTGAATTCTTTTGTCACTATTTCCAAAGTTTTTGTACATTTCGGGACCTCGACTGGTTTTGTTCAGGATGTGTCCGCTGCTTCCATCGATACATTGGATCGCACTATTTATCAAGTTGAGTCGACTAGTCGGAATTCATTGAAAGAAGATAAGTTAGCTATGGTGGACGAAGAAAAATTCCCACACGAAACGCTACCCTTTTTGCAGGTATACTGTTCACCTAGTCATCTTTTATACTCTTCCTTTTTTACCATTGTCTTTACTACTTCATATTCGAAGCTTGAACAGCCATAAATGGTACGACTCACAACAGCAAAGCGTTCGAAGCGCTATAGACATTCACGCACGTGAAAAGCTTGTCGAAATTTTCCGTTGTAAAGCATAACTTTTTGCACTTTAGCTATAAAAAAGTGCCTATGCTTCATCAAACGTCTGCCCAACTCGCTATGCTCCTATGAGTCGACGATTGAAATTCTTTCAGCCGGAAAATATACGTGATGCGCAAGGTCGTCGTCCAAATGAAGATGATTATGATCCGACAACATTGTTCGTCCCTGCAGATTTCCTGAAAGAGCAGTCACCTGGTATGTTTTTGATAGTCTATTACTTTTTCACTTTATGGTATGCGATACCTCTTATAGGACACAGACAATGGTGGACAATCAAGAGCAAGAATTTCGATACCATCTTACTCTTCAAAGTTGGAAAATTCTACGAGACCTACCATATGGATGCCATGATTGCTGTCGAATGTTTAGGACTTTCTTTCATGAGGGTAAGTACTAAAGTTGCTATGAAGCACTAGTTGTCTGGATTTTGTTCCAGGGTGGCTATGCACACGCTGGGTTTCCAGAACCAGCTTACGGCAAGTTCGCTGACCAGCTCGTTTCCCGTGGATACAAGGTTGCGCGCATAGAGCAGACGGAAACTCCACAGCAATTAGAAGAACGAAACAAGGCTGTCAAGGGTGGAAAGGAGAAAGTAGTACGCAGGTAAGCGCCGTGATTCTACTGTTTTTGTCTTCCATTGTAGATGGAACGTTGATTCGTTGACCGCACGGAATGCTCAAACGCGCGGACC